CGGTGGTGTGAGCCCCGGGCACCCACTGCGCGCGTGCACCCGGGCCCGGCGGGGCAGGGCGGCCAGGCACCCCGGCTCCGACACGGTGTGGCGGCGGCTGATCGACTCGGAGCCGCGGGAGGAGTTCGGGGCGATTCTGGGAGTGGGGTCGGGTGGAGGCAGGTTTTTTGCCGCCTCGTACCCGAGGGATGGTGCGGACTGGGCTGGGTGGCTGGCGGGAAGCCTCTCTGACAGCGGGGATGATTGAGGCGGACTTCCACTACACAAGCCCACACTTTATCTAGGATTTGTGCTGGATCAGGAAATAGCTCTAGTTGAGATTTGTTAGAAAAAAGAAGGTGCTTGCTCGACTACAGCAGCGCTTAGCTGCGAAAACGTGCTTGGTAGGTCGGAAAGGCTCTCCAGATTGAATCTTGGCTTTCACCTTTTGACTTAATGTTGCCTGTGGAGGAAGACTTGTCTCACCTTCTTGTGAGCACACTTGACCTAGTTAGAGCCCTTCCTCTCGAGCCCTAATTGACAAGCTAAGGTAAATTATTAGGTTCAGGTTGCCAATTTGAACACCGATGTTAAGTTACTCCTGATTCATAATTCATCTTCTATAATGATTTTACGAGTTACGTTTTAGTAAGCAAATTTACTGTGTAGTTAGTGTTCATTCATAGAGGCTCTTTAGAAAGGAACCATCTAGTAATTTAGTTTCAACATTATCTTGTCTTTGAAAATAAATTAGCTTGATCTTTTTTAATGGCAGGTTAAAATTTGGAGGTAGAATATTGCTAGTTATTGGATTTTCTTTCTTTTTTTTGAGGGTTCTTAAGTATGATTAAAAGGAGTCTTTTCAGTTGAGAAGTAGCAGTCAACTCAAGTTTTAGTCTGAAATTGAGGCATTAACTTTAAAGAATTTCAGGTAAATTATTCGATTGAAGTTGATCTCCTTTATAAGCATTAAGTTGAAACTTCTTTTTGAAGATATGAGCAGTTATTAAAGTTGGCATGCTTTTTGGGAGGCCTCTCCCCTCCCCAGGTTATTCTGCAGATGAAGAGTTGTGTAGACAGTTAAAAAAAAATTAAAGGACTTTAAAAACCAAGTTTATCTTTTTCATATTACATTATCCTCACATCTGAACATTTCCATTTTTAGAAATGACTTGTAATTGAAAGCTTTTCATAATGAAGTTATTTTCCTGAAAATGTCTAATTTAATTTTTCTTAGCTTTATTGTTATGTAATGGCTAGCTCACATTTTGTTTTATTTTTTTGGAGAATCTTTGGATACTATTAAAATCATTCTGTTCTTCAATTTGAAGCAGAGTTTTATGCTTAACACATTACATCATGAAAGTAAATTCAGTTCTCTAAGGCAGTAGTCTTAGGCCAGTGCATTCAGCTTGATTTGTCAAAGCTTGTATCAGAATAATTTTGCCATCTAATGCTTGCTTTTTATTCCATCTGGCTGTTACAAATCAAGCAATTTTCTACAAGAGAACAGTATCTAACTCTTAGTAGGTGTTCAGTAAACATTTTTCAGCTTCACTGCAGAAGTTGATTTGTGGAAGAGTTAAGCCTTATATTTGTTTAGTTGGTCAGTCTTATATTTGTAAGAGTATAGTGAGTTTTTTTCTTTGCTTTGCTTATTTTTGGTATGGTGTTCAGTATCTGTTATCACATTTAAACTTCATTAGTCATCTGTGACTTGGTTCCTGGCAGCTTTGATCACCGCTGATAATTCTTTGCTTTCTATATAAGCAAGATGATAGACTTGAATTATATTTACTTTTAAAGAAAATTAGAATATGTTTTGTCATCATCCTGGATAAGTTTGCCTTTTCCTTCTCATTCACCTTTTAGTTGAAGGAACCAGCAAGTTGCTGTTGACTACTTTTCAGTCGTTCCTTTCTTGGTCCTAGGTACTTTATGAAAATAAAGAGTTTACGATCTATACAGAGTGTTAACATTTTATGACTGGGAGACTGGTGTTAAGCTGAATTAAT